GCCGATTCTTATTGCGCTTATAAGCGTTATAAGGGTCGGCCGATTTGAATCGGCCGATCCTTATGAAGTATGGAGATACCCTAAGCGTTATAAGGGATTTGAAGCGGCCGATCCTTATGAAGTGGAGATGCCCTTGAGAACACGGAAGGTAGTGTCTCACAATTACTTCACACAGGATGTGGATTAGCATGTCACATTGGCGCCCTTACTGGAATTGCAACAGTTGGAGTAGCGAAGAATCTAAACTTGTCGCTGTTGAAGTCATTACATGCAAATGAGGAAGTAATGAAAGCGTCGGAACAGGTGTGTTCTTGCAACTATTTCAAAATAAATTATAAAGTAAAGAGGTTTTAGCTCATCACCAGCGTATCATCACAGAATACAAATGGTTTCGCACCTTACGACGTGATACTCCCGGTGGTGATGAATATTGCGCGAGTAGGCGGGTCTAAGGTCCCCGTTTATGTGTCAGCTGGCTACGGTATTGAGCTCGATTTGGCAACTCAGATTGTACTATCCGCGGCCGAGAACCGCATTTGCGAGCCTATTAGAATTGTAAGCATGTTCTATGCAATGCCCTTCTTTTCAGAAAAATTGTCACATTTAGGCCGACTTGTTCTCCAGGGAAAAGGTGCGCGAGTATTTCGATGGTTGACGCTAAAAATAGAACATCTCATTATTTGTTATGCTTTTCTGTGATATTTTATGGGTCGATAACTTGTGTGTTTGTTATTTGGAGCTTGAGTGCATTGAAAATTTGCTAACTGGAACAGTTCTAACTCTATGTTACTCTTCGCTACAGTGGGATTGGCTCAATACAATGAGTAGAAGGAAGTTATGACTGCACGCGAATGCGCTATTTACCAAGTGCATATATCATTTTGTTTCGCTTCTTTTCTTATAGAATTCCAGAACTTGGTCTTTCTAGTCATGAAGAGTGCAGCTGTAATTTTGCGTCTTACCTACAAGCTGCACAGGTATTTCTTCTCGATTTGGACGAATTAAGACAGCCTTGTGACTTTCAATGCTCATAATTGGTTTTACTGCATAGAACCTTTGGGCAATTTGGCGTTATCTTTTATGTTATGGACCGCCTTTCCAATTTCGTTGTTCAAAAGATATTTTTGACTTAGATCAAATACACACTAAGATTTATTTTTCTTCCTTTCTACTGATCTCACAAATTATTTTATGTTGTAATCACTTGCAAAAAACCATATTCCAAAATAACCAGTGACCTGCCTAAAATTTATAGCGTGACATGGAGGCTCGATTTACCATGTTAGGTGCTCATCGTTGGCCACGTCAAAAGCGAAGAAATAATTCAAATGGGTTGTTGCATAACTAGTGGAGTTAAGCTCATAAGAATCCCATAAATTATTCTGAAATGGATTTACATGTGGTTGGAAGGAGTAGATTCTAGAAACGGGGTTCGGTAACCAAAGATGACACTTTTTAGTTGGATTCCACTGAAGAAAAATTGGGAGAACGAAAGAAGAGCTACCAACAGTTGCCCTTTCTGTCATTCCAGAATTTTGGATTTTAGGAAGTTTTTTGGTGGGATTATCCGTCATGCTGATCAGGAACGCCGTATCCGTTTTGCATAGGATTTGTTAAAGGCTATAGGTAGACGAGATTTTAAAACTCCAGATCTGGCTGAAAGTTGGTGTAGTAAGATTATTTGACGTCCTCAATGCAGAAGTCGTATTCCATCCACACAATAATTCATTTTTCTAATAATATTGCACAATTATCTCTTAATAAAGTTGTGACAGAGGAAGACACGCGAAAAGTAAGAAACATCAAGTGTCCAGAAAGGAAGTGTGATTAATTTATACTTGGCCTATCTGTAGGATATATGTTATTCATTATTGTTTTATCTTCGCTTTAATCTACACAGGTTTTGCTGTGCATGTCAGTCTCAGTATTCTCGAGTCAAGGCAGTTCATCTATTAAGCTCTTTTAAGTCAGCTCTGATCCTCCATCCACCACAATTTTAGATTTTCTTGTGATACTTCTTCAGCGGCCAGAGAATTTGCCAAACTTGCGGTATAGGTCTCTTTTCTTCTACTCGCTATTTTTACTGTCGCAGTCGTTTTTTTTCTGCATTTTTTCTGGCTACGAATTTCATTATAGCCTGAACCTTGTCATTAAAGACATGAAATAGCAGGGTAAACTCATTACCACAGCAGCATTCTTATTTTCGTGAGACTAAGCGTGGCCGGCATTCGCTGCCATACACGCTGTTGGACTCTGTTCACAGTGGCATGTTCGAAATTTAAGTTCCACCTGAGTTTGCTCGTCGCATAGAACTCATGTGAATTCTGATTGATTTGTCCTCGCTAGTAGCTCTTCTTTCGCCAGAGATGCGACCTCCTAGGTAATTCCTACTCGTCCTTTTGTATGGCTTGACATCGGAGTATGTTAATGAAGTTTGACCTCCAACTTCTTATGTCCTGCTTTCTTTGTGCTGAGCTTGAAACCGTACAACACTCTCTGCTCCTTCCATCTCTCTACATCTTTTTCTCTGCTTTCTGCCATCAACACCACATCATCTGCATACAGAAGAGTCCTGGAAGCTGCCGCTTGAGACCTTCTATCACAGCGTACATGACTGCGATGAAGAATAGAGTATCGATTCCTGATGTACCGATCTTTGCAGAATGTTTTGACTGCCCTGCCGCACTTTGCACTTGGTTCGTGGCTCCGTGATAGATCAACTGTTTCGTAATATCATATTTGTTTTTGGGATGTAAAATAAACTCAAACACCTTCTGGGCAGCTGTGTGATTATGACCTCATTACTACGAACTTTAGGAAAATGGGTTCTGCGTTTTGAAAAGTGCTGGAAGAGTCGCATGTGACACTCCATTTCATTGACTCGTGAAGTGACCTGAACATGATATCGGGAGAACCGAGCAGAACGTTTTGTAAAGTGAAGATTTTTTGAAAATCTGTACTCGCTGCTGAATTATTCCTGTTTTTGATGTTCTAATTGAGAAAATCGCAGACCCTATCTGACAACCCAGTACATGGAATGGTCACTTCGTATTCTAGCATTCTATATCATGTCTTGGTTAGGAAAAGTAAAGAGAAGGAACTTGCAAAAATTACATGTAAGTTTACGGAAAAATCTGAGTATAGAAAATGACTTTCAAGGCCTTTCACGGCGTCGATAAACATCGTCTGATTATGATCTGGTTTTTTAGTCTAGAATTTCATAAAGTCTAGTTTGCGATCTCTTTGCGGTGACTCCCAAAAATAAATAAATCAAACAAAATAGTTCTTTTCTTTCAAAATCAGATTTTTAGCCGTTCATTAGTAGTCCGCTGTTTATCTGCAATCCGAAAGACGCCCTTCTTCTGTTTCTCCAAGTACATACCAAACAAGAGATAATACTTGGCAGATTGATGCCTTGCATATATGTATATTTTCGAAATTTGATTATTGTTTGCCTTCTATATGTGTTAATTCAATTTCGAGTATCAGGTGATTACAAGAAAAGCAAAACACAGCGAAACCGCAAGTTTATTACATTATCATACCTTTTTATTCTTCTTTGTTAGTTCAATTCTGGAATGATACACAATAAAATTCAATAATCTTCTTTTGCCATAATCGGTATATCTGTATTTCGAGAATTTTAACTTGTGTTTATTTCAGAATATCAAGAGGAGGGAATAGTTGAAACCAATGTGCATAATGGAAGTTTTATCAACGAATTTCATCCATTGCCACCCTTTGTTCGATTTAGAGAACTATTTCTGGTAGGGGATTACTTGATGGTTGAATTAACAACTGTCTAGGGCTAAGCAGCTATTTAGATCGCTCCAAAGTACAACATTGCTACCTGCATAATCGAGAAAGTTATGAGCAGCTTTCGTTTTGGCCTGTTTTGTTATTTGAATCGTCCTTGGGTATTTGCAAGAGGTGGAGAGAGATTGAGTAACATTGGATGGCAATCAAGGTGCATTAGAAATATCTGTCAGATAGAAACAGAACATAGAAAGAGGAAGGGAAGCAAGAGAGGGGGCTAAAAGGAGAAGGGGCAGTTGACTACAGTATCATTAGAGCTTTTTTACGACATCTGAGGCGACTAAAAAAATCACGTTTAGACCGTGTCTAGGTCAACCTAGTTTTACTACACATTCTTTGAAAAACGCTCTGAGCCATCTTCATCAAGATTCTATCATATTTCTTGTTATTCGTAATCCGTTTCAACGATTTATCAGCGCATATCTGGACAAGTGTGTTGTGTAAGTTTGTCTTTTCTTTATTTGCTAAAAAATCACTAATCTAATATCAAGGATGGAATCCTAATTAGCTTGTAATAGTGATTTTAGAAATGCTAATGTGAGATGTTATGATTGCAAGCGAGATATGCTGTGTTTTTTAAACATTTTGCGAGCACTATTATTCTCGGTCCAACGACACCCTGAAATACACCTTTCAAGAAATGACCAATTTCATGTCAACCACTTTGCGCCTATGTCATGGTAAGCAAACTAATGATGTTATGGTTATTTAAGGATAAACAGATTTTTTTACAGTCAATGGAAGTGGCGGCATAATATGATGAATTAAACGAGGTTAAACTTTGAAAACTGTCTCTTTAGTCATCATCACTGGTCCTTAATTGAGAGGCAGTCATGGGCAAATGCTTTAGGCACTAAAGCGAAATTTAAGCATTTCACGAGAGTTACTACAGACTGGAACTGCTATAGGCAAATCGGCTGGCTCTTGTTTTGCTATGTTATTATGAAGGTTCGACTAAGAAATGTTTTCCAATCTCAGCAGCTATTCCTTTATGCGAAATACGATTAACGGGCGTATGAATTCCAGCATAAATGAAACTTATAATGTCCATTAAAGAGTTATAAAATTCTTGGGTGTTCCCTCCTAATGAAGTTGATTGTCTCATCATCATCCTTAAAGATCTCCTATCAAGCGAAGAAGGCTTATTTCAACCCAATTTATTTAAAGCGCCTAATAATCACGCATTCAAATTATGCGAAAGGATTGTAGTATGCATGCTGAATGAATGCTTATTACTGAAGAGGATATGGAGAGGTGCAGACAAGGGCTCAACATAATTATTGCCTTTCAAGCACAAAGCAAAAACATGGCGAAGGAGATTAAATTTTTTTGTTGAAAAATGCCAAAGCACAGTCACCTCATCTAAT